ACTGGACTCTTTTAGAATATTTTGCTGAGTTTACACACCTATAATATTCAAATAACGGAACTTAACAACAAAAAGGGGATGCAGATGAATGTCCATTTTGTATCTGTGTACTCAAATGGCTAGGATCGTTATACAGTTACATTCTCTTAATGAATAGAGGGATTTGTTCTAATGGTGTTTGTAAGTAGGATATCATGTCTGCATCTTGTACAGCAATTCACCACTAGAAAGAATGTATGCAATGTGTTAATTATTGAAACTGTCCTACCAGTTTGGTTTGAAACTGTCTCATTGCTATTTGTTTCTCAATAAATTTATGGGAAAAAAATAAAGATAAAAGGATGGGGACAAGTATACCATCCAAGCACCATTCAGAAGAAAGCAGTTGACCCACAGGCATGTGCTGTAAGTATATCATTCATTACCATGATGCCAAGGCATCCCAAGTGAGTATGGACACAGACCAGAGCTTTGAAATACATGAGAAAAAAAGACAGAAACAAGATGAATAAACAAACTCATGACTACATTTGATAGCCTAGAATTCTCTCACAATTAGTAGAACAAAGAAACAAAAAAGAAAACCAGAAGGAGTAGGAAAGAACCGAACACTATCCACTGGGTGGATTCAAACTGGAAATTGCACAACATACTAATAAGTAACTGACACATCCAAAAGAAAGTTGAGTTGGGAGTTTACATATATATTGTTCTGAAAAAAATCTTAAACATTTTAAACTTTAAGGTATGTCTATAAAAGTATCTTTGAAGGAAATTCATATTGTAAAATGCTTACTTTAGAAAAGTAGCATGATCTGAAATCAGTAATTTGGGATTTGACTTAAAAACCAAGACAAAAGTTATCAGATGGGAATAACAAAGAGAAGAAACTGAAAAGAAAAATCTCATAGAGGAAAAATCCTTTCGTTAGACTTTATTTTCTTATTTATTTATTTATTTATTTATTTATTTATTTATTTGGTACTGTGTCTCACTACATGGTTTGTACTCCTAATAATCCTCCTGTCTCAGCCTCGCCAGCACTGAGATTACAAGTGTGTACCACTACACCCAGTTTCAGTGGCCACGGTACCTGGGATTGAACCTGGGTCTTTGTGCTTTCCAGGCAGGCACTTAGACCACTGAGCTATCTCCCCAGGCTCCTTATTAGTCTTTAAAATAGTAAATAGTACTGATAAAGCTCTAGCAGAATGGAAAAAGGAAAGGCAGAATTACACAAATTAACAATAGAAAGAGTAAAAGAGAGTACATATACCCTACAGCTATTTAAGGAAAATAAGATAATACCATAAATAATTCATTATACATAAATTTAAAAAAAACTTTCATGAAAAAGAGCAACATATGAAAAGCAATTAACTATGACCTATACTCACTCAAGATAAAATCAGCACTCTATATAGCCTTCTAACAAGCTGTTGGGGCCGGGGAGATGGCTTAGTGGAATAAGTGCTTCCCTGGCAAGCGCAAGGGCCTGAGTTCAATCCTCGGTTCCTCAAAAAAAAAAGCTGCTGTTTTGTTTTACTTTTGTTTTTTAAGACAGGACCCAACTATGTAGTTCAGGCTGGCCTTAAATTCACTAAGTAGCCCTGGCTGGCCAACAGTCCTTCCAGCTCAGCCTCCTCAAGTGCTGGGGTTATAGACATACACCACCATGCCAGGCTCTTAGACTGAATTTTAATTAGAAAAAATCTTTCAAAATGAAGGATGGTTTCACTGACATAATTTTAAAAAATCACCAATTCTGTATTCTCTTCATGAAAATGAAAGGACAAGAATGATTCCCCATATCTGTTTAAAAAAAACAGTATTCTTTTAGTATCAATACCAAAGAGAACAAGAAAATAAATTTACAGATCAGAATCACTCCCGAAAATTGCCACAAAAACCTTATGAAACAATCAGGAAATAGTATACAGCAGTATATATAAGAATATTCTTCACTGAGCACCATGCAAATCTATACATTTACCTTATTAATTGCCTGAAAGAACAGAAACCACATAATGTTACCAGTAAGTAGATGTGGAAAAATCCTTGACAAAGAAATCACCAACAGCTTATGATAAAAAAAATACAAAACTCCTCACCAAACTAAGAATAGAATATAACATTCCTAACATGTTGAGGATCATCAAACAAACACCAAACACACATAAAAAAAAAAACCAACAAAAATCCTCCAGCTAATGTCCTGTCTTATAATGAAAGATAGAGCGCCTTCCGCCTTAAAACAGGAGAAACTGAAAAACAGCCTCTTTTATCACTTCAACTGATCATCATAAAGGCTGAAAAGGGGGGAATAAAATTGCCTGTATGTACGATAGACAATATTGTCCACATAAAATAACTAAAATAATCTACAAGAGTACCAAGAACCAGTAAGTGTGTTGAGCAACGTCTTAGGAAATATAATCAGCACATAAAAATCAATCTTATTCCTCAATGATAACAATGAACCTTTGGAAACTGAAAACAATTTTAAAACAATGAGTTCAGCCAGAACATTGGCATGTACCCATAATTCCAGTATTTTGGAAGCTAAGGTAGGATGAGCACAACTCTGAGATAACATAGCCAACCTGGATAGAATAGCAAGTTCAAGGCCAGCTTTGGGACAGTGAGAATATGTGTCAACAAATAAATAAATAAAAAGGCTCCACAATGAAGAAGTACTTAGATTTAAATATAACAAAACATTTACAAGGTTCCCATTTTGAAAACTACACAATACTGATGAAAGATGTCAGTGCAGCCCAGAATAAATGCAGATACACTGTACTTATGGATTAGGTGATTCAACATAATAAAAGTCTCGATTCAAATATAATTCCAATCAAAATCCCTACAGGGTTTTGGAAATAGTTATAGTACAAGCTGATTCTATGGAAAGGCAAAAGAACTAGAACAACCAAAGCAGGAGAAGCTGAAGCAAAATAATATTAGGGATAATTTCAGTATTACTACAAGGTTACAATAATCAAAGCAGTGTGCTAATACTTATGCTATTTTAAAAGATCCATGGAATAAAATATGAAGAGTGAGAGAGACCCACTTGAACCTGGGCAGTTAATTTTGTACAAAGATGTCATGGTGATTCAATGGAGATGTTAACATCTTTTAGAGAGTGGAGCAATCAAATATCTACATAGAAAATAAAACTCAAACCTTACACCATGTATAAACATGGATCCCATGTACAAATATGTATGAATCCCATATACAAATACATATACATATACAAATATATTAAAAACATAGAAATATGTATATGCAAAAATATATACAAAATATACACACAAGCATGAAACATTAAAAAAACCTTAAGAGGAAAAAATATTCACAACATGTGGTTAAGTAAGTAGTTCTTAAATATGATACCAATAGTACAATTAATAAAAGAAAAAATGATAAATGGAATTTCATTCAACTTTTGAATTTGTAAACAAGTATTTGAAAAATCCAGCCATGAAATGAAAGAAAATATACGTGAATCACATATCAAGCAAAGCAATACATGAAAACTGTTCAGCAAACTCTCAAAATTCACCAATAAGACAAATAATATAATTTATAAAATGGGCAAAATATATGTATTAGCATGTCACCATAGAAAATAACATGAGAATTTGTTCAATGTCATTAAAATCATGAGATACCACTTCCCCTCTCTCAGACAATCTAAAATTAAAAGAAAAAAAGGCAATAAAATAAGTGGTAGTGAGGGTACACAACAACCAAAGTTCTTGAATATTCCTGAAATACAAAATGGTCTAGACATTCTCAAAAGTAGCTTGGCAATTTCATATACAATTAAGCTTTACCTTACACCTGACTGAAAAGTCGCACTTCTCAATGTGTCACAGTAGAGAAGTGACGGTGAATGTTTTAAAGCCTTCAGTGATATAAAGAGCCTGCTGCAGTGTGTGGTCCTAAGTGTGCCACCACTGCCAGAGAGAAATTAAAATGTATGCTCATGTAGCATATGTTCACACAGTAGCCCTATTAAAAATGCCAAAAGCTGGAATCAACTTGTTCTGGTTTGGATCTTAAATGTCCCCGAAAGGTCATGTGTTGATGAGTTGGCCCCAGCTGATGGCTCTTTTGAGTGGTAGAAGAAATGTTAGGAGATCAAGCCTAGGTGGAGGAAGTATATGATTGAGGCCATGCCTTTAAAGGCTGTGTTAGGACCCAGACCCCTGCTCTCTTACTCTCTTTTACTTCTTGTCCACTGTGACCTAAGCAGCTTGCACTATGACACACAGCCTGCTAGGATATTACCTAGCATAGCATATGCCCCACTTGCTTTAGGTCCAAGTGAAGGAACAATGTGACCGTTGACTGAAACCTTAGAAACCATAAGCCAAATCTCTCCTTCCTCTTTTTTTTTTTTTTTTTTTTTTTTTTTTTTTTTTTTTTTTTTTTTGGCAGAACCGGGGATTGAACTCAGATCCTTGCATTTGCCAGTCAAGCACTTATCTTACTGAGCCAACTCCCCAGCCCCCTCTCCTTCCTCTTAATACTTTATCTTAGGTATTTTTTCATAGCCATGGAAACCTGACTAATTCCCAACAATAAAATGTCCTCCATTCACTGAGTGTATATATTGTGATCTTTCTCCATACAATGGAACACTGTTCAGCAACAGAAGGAACAAACTATCAAACAGAAGAAAGTGGGAAAGTTTGAAATGCATTATGCTGAAAGAATAAACCAGTCTTAAAAGGTATGATTCCATTAAAATGGCATTCTAGAAAAGGCAAAACCAGGGACCGGGGAGATGGCTCAGTAGAATATGCGCTTGCCTGGCAAGCACAAGGGCCTGAGTTCAATCCCCAGTTCTGCCAAAAAACCGAAAAAGCAAAACCATTGTTACAGAAGACAAAGCAGTGGTTATTATGAGTTAGGGCTGAAGAGAAGCAGTGGTTATTATGAGTTAGGGCTGAAGAGAAGCAGTGGTTATTATGAGTTAGGGCTGAAGAGAAGCAGTGGTTATTATGAGTTAGGACAGCCTCAGGGACTTCTTGGGTGATGGAACTGTTCTTCTCAGTTATCCTGGTAGTTACAGGAATGCATACATGTGGTTAAATTCATAGAATTGTGCATCAAAAAGAAAAGTACTGAAATAAGGTCCAGGTAAAATTTAAATTTATTTTTTAAAGTAAATAATTTTTAATAATCTAAGCCAAAGGTGCAAATTATTTTCATATTAGTCAGCATCTTACTTACTTTATTGTCTTAGTTACTTTCTGTCTTTGCTGACACAAAATACCCGACACTCAAAAGTATGAAAGGAAAGGTTTATTTAGCTCACAGGTTGTGGAGATATCAGTCCATGCTCAGCCCCAAGGCAGGGTGGCAAGGCGAGCAGCAGCAGTTCATGGCATCAGAAGACAGCAAAAGCAATAAGAGCATGTGTGAGGCTCTTTCTGTCCCTTATATTGTATGGAGGATACCCACCCTCGGGCAGGGGAAGCACTCATATCCCTAATCCCAGTACTGGACAATGAATCAATCACAAACTCTCGATTCATGAGCCACCTCTGAAAGCACCACTCCATGACTGTTTGAGGCTGTGGGATGACATCCAGATGCAATGGCAGCTTCTCAGGGCTGAGACAAAATGCCTAACTAAAACAATTTTGAAAAGGAAAGATTTATTTTAATTCATGGTTTTAGAGATTTCAGCCCATTGTAGTTACGCTGTTTCTAGACTTATGGTGACAAGGAAACATAATGGTGTGGAGGGCATTCCAGAGGGCATTCCACTATCACTCCTGGTGGCCAGTAAGCTGATTCAACAAAGGAGCAGGACCAGAGAGGAAGGGGCCAGGGACAAGGCGCTCCTTCCCCAGTGACCTGCTTCTTTCCCCTGAGCTCCTCCTGCCATATCCCATGCAGCTAAGAACTCACCTGTTGATTAAACCACAACAAACATAAGCCCTTAGGGTTTGATCACCTGTCTAGGCTCCACTCTGATGTTGCTGCATTAGGGATCAAGATTTCAACAGCTGAGCCTTTCAACACCTGAATCTACCATAGTAGATTCAACCCATAACAGTTTTCAAATCTTGAGATATTTTAGAACTTGAAATATTTTAGAACTGTAAAACTTTTTTTTGCAATGCCAATAACTAAGAAATTTTAAAAACTCAAGTGTTTAAATAGCAATTTATTTTTATATGGAAATACAAATGACAAATATACAAGCTGATATCAAGAATTTTTGAAGGAATTTCTAAAATACACCACACTAATAGTATATATATTTCAGCCTGTTTTCTTTGATTGTATAGTTTGAAGTACAGAACTCCATCAGTAAGTATTTGATACACCTACTATTTATGTTCATTATGAAAATAGTATTGCTCCAAGATCCCAGGGTGCCTTCTGAATCATTAAGGGATGCTGAAAATTTGCTCACTATGATTTTATGATAGTTTCTTTCATTCTTTTCCTCTAAAAATTGAATCTACTTCTGTACAGTAAACATTATTGCTAAATTGACTATAATATCCTATACCCTCAATATTTCCAATGGAAATTCAAGCTGCTTGATTATTTTAAAAGAAAAAATAAAAGCTAAAAAAAACTTAAAAAGAAAAATGTAAAACAAAATTGAGAAACAACTCTTGTCTTTGTTAAATAAACTTCCTACTTCCTTTATTGAGTTTGAACTGTATGAACGAGATATCACAGACTTTCAGTTCTTCTTTCTTATAACCTTAGAATTAGAGGTCTTCTTAAGTTATTAAAAATAATTTTAACTGCTGTGAGTGTGTATTCTCAAATTTCTTGCACCCATCCCCAAATATTTCTTTTTGAGGGATGTGGGGCAATTTGACCCAGTTTAATCCCCTTATTTACATAATATACTGTAATTTTATTAGCTCTCAGTAACAACCTAAGTCAAGCATGTATTTTACTCTCAAGTTACAGAAAAAAAACTGGAAACACAAGCATTTAAAATAATGACTGTAAAAGTAGATAGCTTTAGAATTCCAAAAGAAAAGAAAAACATGACTCTGCTTGGGTAGATAAACAAAGGCAGCAAAGGATATAAAACTATAAAACTAGATCATAGCCCAGCTGTGGCTGCATGACTTCCCTCCACCCTCTGAAATGATTATGCATGCAACCATTCAGAAGGTCCAGCAGGGTTTTTGAGGAAGTTTTCTGAAAATGTATATGAATCCAGTAGCTAGCAAACTTTTTCTGTGAAGGAACAGACCGTGATTTCTATTTCCCTATACTGTAGATTGAACCCAGGACCTTTGCATTGAACTACATCCTTAACCTATTTACTTATTTATTTATTTAGTCATTCACTCATTCAGACATACATACACTCAAACATGCATACACACATATATTCATACATACATTTAATTTTGAGATAGGATAGCTAAGTTGTTAATTTTCCCAGCCTGGGCTGAAACTTTCAATCCTCCTCCTTCACACTCCCAAATTACTAATGTGGGGATTACAGATGTTCATGACCACATGGTAATTATTTTGTGCTTTGTATTCTACATGGTCTCTGAGTGAAAGCAATCATGCGACAGCAAGCAGAAATACCGAAGCAACACCCAGGAGTTGGAGGCATATTTATTTATATTGAAGGGGGGATACTAATTGGGATCATTTGAAAAATATCAGGCCTTGATCTCTGGTGATCTAGGGCTTTTATGCAGTAAGCGAGCAGAAGTACAGAGGCAGAATGGCTTGTAAGTTGAGAACTGGTTTATACAATGTGCACCGCAGTGACCAGCCATTTCTAAGAGGCAGGAGCAACTGGATCTGAGATAGGAACTGTTCCCTGGGCACCTAACAAGCTGAAGTATACTGGCTGGGGGTGGGGGGTATTTTTCTGTTACAATCATGCACAGTATATAAATGAACAGATGTGGATGCTCCAACATCTATTTATAAAAATAGATAGTAGCTGCTTTGGGCCCCAGGGCCATAGTTTGCCAACTTCTGCATTAATCCCATCAACACAATTATGTATAAGAACTTTAAATGTTAATTACCTGGTCTACTGATAAAAGAACAGATGATTTGTACCTAATAAAATTTTGACTTCTCACTAATAAAATTAATGAAGAACTATCTCTTTTTGTGGATAACTGAAAACATCTAAACATTCTTCTTACATGATGCAAAACCTCCACTCCTAAGAACATTGTTCCTCATCTGAAAAATCATCTTTACACAAAAACTTATGGGGGATTTTAAGAAATCTTGAAATGAAAGAACAGCATCATTATTCATTTTCTTCCCTTCTCTGAGACCTCTGCACTAAAGTGTCCAAGAATTGGAATGGGTGAAAATACGTGTGAACAGTATGTGGGAACTTCTCTCTGTTCAGTCTGGCTAGTCATGTCTCTGCACCCCTTAGCAACTCCCTCTTTCTTAATCCAACCCTGTGGAGATCTTTCAGCAAGTCTTATTAGAGCCAAGTCTACTTCATGGGTAAGTGCTTTGAGCTTGAACCTTTGATTTTGCCTGAGATAGGGCTACCTGTTGACACGGAATCTCAAACATACTTCACAGTATCTGAAGAATAATAGGAATTATAGCTGAGACCATCCAAAATGGTGATGGGAGTAGTGTGAGAAGCATGAGTGGCGTGGCCAGATCACCCTCCTGTGTGTTGAAATCTGGAATGTTGCAGTGTGGAAAAGTGATCCTGCCATCAGCGAAAGGCACTGAAATGGAGGTGAGTCAGCAGGTCAGGAGGAAGTAGTACAGGCTTTTCTCAGCTACTGTTTTTAAAAACAGTAATCACCACTGAATATAAAGTATATCCTTTTAAAAAATTCTGATGCTGTAGCAGAGGTAATGCTTTTATTTTATTTATCATGAGCTGCCCACATGTACTTCTTAGGTTATGATTCATTTGAACAGGTTTGTGGTTTTGTATTTTTTTTTTTCAGTTAAAGAACATTTTATTCTAGAATGAAAAAACTCTTGAATGCCCCACAGTGGTGTGGGGTTGGCATTAACATGGAATGACAGGCAGTTTAATCTAAAACCAGAATAATGACAGAATCTCATGGTACATCAACACCGGTATGATTTTTATGCACAGCATTTTGGTTTTCTTGACTATAATTTTAGGGGCCTTACTATCATGAGTCATACCCACTTAGGATGCTAACATTTTGTTCTGGCTTGTAACTGTGATGTGCTTCTGAAGATGTGTTCAGCTCATTCTAATCTTCCTTGAAGCTACTACTTTCTGTCTGCTGCTGATATTCACAGCGGAGAGTACCACGGATTGCTTGGGGCTTTAGAATCTTAGGACTTTTAAGCAGAGTGCAAGGACCTAAAATCCCCTAATCAAGTTTCTAATGGCAAACAAGAAGGACTTACATTAAGAGTCTTTTGAGAGAAGCAGTGGCATCATTGTGTCTTCGCTATATCAAATAGGATTCTTATTTTAGCACCAAAGGCTAATCTTTCCTTTTTCTGGATAGTGAAGCAAAATCCTGAACTCTGTGGAAGAACAGAACACAGTAGCTCCCATTTTATTTTCCTTCTGATACAGTCCCAGAGTTTATTTTATGTAATGCACAATACACAATGGACACTATTTTACAGATACTGTCTTTGGTCCTTTAATTCTTACAGCACCCTTGTGGTACAGTTACTATTGTTATCTCCAATTTACAGGACAGCATTAAAATGAGCAGGACACAGTGATCTGCTCCCTGTCACTTAGCCAGCAAGTGGAGAACCCAAATTGAAATGCAACTTACTTGACCCCCAGTCCACAGTCTGCATGCGAGGCTGCTCCACTTGCCTGTGCCTCAGACAGAGCAAAGAAGCAGCCGGCTACCTTCTTCCTTTCTTGTACACCGTAGCAAAGGCAGAGGGAAATCCTGACGGTAATACACCAGGCAACCAGGACTGGAGTCATCACGTTTTAGACATATTTAACACATATTGCATGGAATTTTGGCTCTGAATTCTTTCTGCCTGTGTGAAATTTAAGCTTAAATAGAGAAAAATATAGTACTGTATGTGTCTCCTTGTCTTCATGGCTCCTTTGCTCTGCTTATATTCTTTGTATTGTTGACTTGTCCAATGTGGCACTTGCCCTGGGACTTTCATTTTTAAACTATCATTGTTAGTGACAGTTGCATTAAACATGTTAAGATGATTTGGTGGACCTTCACTTTTTCAACTTCATCTGGTTTCACCTAGGAGCAATGGAGATTTTTGGCAGCAAGCAGATTTTTTTCAGATGATGATGATGATGATGATGATGATGATGATGATGATGATGATGATGATTATTTTATGTATTTAGTACAGGGTCTACAGGGTCTTACTACACAGATCAGACTCATAGTGATCCTCCTATTTTCAGCCTCCCAAGCGCTGGGATTACAAGCATGTGCCACCACACCCAGTCTCAATCGCTGTCTCAGTGTGCTCTGGGGGTGGGGTCAGCACAACACACTGGGGATTGAACTCCAGCCACTAAGCTCTGCCTAAGCAGGTGCTTTAGTCCACTGAGCTATCTGGTTAGCCCAGATTTTGCAGTTTAAAACATGATTAAACCTGTTATACATAATTTTCCCATTGTTACTCATTTGCTGAAGTTTTTGATGTTTTGAAAGAAACATAATTGCTTATTATACGGGTTTACCAAAACTAAAACTAATTTATCAATCATTAATTATTGAAGAATTATGTAATTATAATTACATTATATCTCATTTTATTC